TATTCGATTTTGACCAGTTTGGGTTTTAACATAGGAATGACTTATTGGCCGTCTTCCGGTTTGGCATTATCCCATAATTATGCTTTTTTCGAAATTTTTTTCGTCCCTGTAATAAAAATTGACAACGCTACGTATGTACGTATAAAATTTTTTTGAAAAGGGTGTGCTTGGGTTACCTGTGTTTTGAGCAAGAGCGCAGTGCTTGTCGGACCAAAACAAAGATGGCGGCTTTCCAAGTGGGTTTGCTGCGAACATGTCGATATTTGAACAGAATATTTCTCACAAATACAAGAAATACGAAACTAAATCCAAACTATGTTAGAAGGCTTTTATCTTTAGACAGCTGTAGGAATAATCACGGGACGTTTACATGGCAGAGAGCCACATACGTAACTCCATTACCAAGAACTGCAAACAGAATTCAAGGTAATTAATATTCTAACAGTGTATTTTATTTTAAGATTTTTTAAATGTTTAGCCTATTACGGCCAAAAATCAAACAGTGCTACTTTTAGTTTTTGGCTTTTTTCTCCTCATCCCCAGGTACGATTTTTCTGAAATTTTCAGAATCTTATCATCTGAGCCTGTGTATAAATTTGCATGGAAAGTCTTGGGCAAAAAAAAGTTATGACGCCGCTTGAAAATTCGATCCAAAATTTGAAGCATATGAAACATCGCGCCGCAGAAACATTACCATGGATTGGATTGCCTTGAAGTTTTCACATATCTATTTCCAAGTATTGCGGATGAGCCTTACGAAAAATCAGCATCAAATCTTAAAAACTCATCGAATAAATGTTTTTTACTACTTGTCGTTGTAAACCTCAAAAAACCATCTTCAATGTCATCGTATTTATGCAGATATTCTGCCAGAGTCCTGTCCCGAAGTTAACATTGTTGAATGTCCGAGAGCGTTGTTGTCGACCGATATTGAATTAATTATTTCTAGCGGGGTGAGCTATTTATGTACACCTCACTTTAAAAAATGTTTTCTCAAACGAACCACCTCTGGACAAGAAATGGCTTTGACTCTGTAGTACTCTCTTCAGGGAAATACATGCTTTTCCTTAAGGAAGGAGTTATGTCCCTACTAACCTCAATAAATCAACTCTCCCTCATCCCAAAACACAATACTATTGCAAATTTGGAAGGTTGGGGACTTCTGTATGGACGTCTGTATGATGCCCGTTATGAAACCCCCAAGGGTTATGTTAGATTGCTGTTTTTTCTCCTGTAGCTCGTAACATGTTCATTCAAGTGCAGGAGACACCAAACCCCAACAGTCTAAAGTTCGTTCCTGGTGTTCAGGTCCTTGAATCAGGGACTATTAATTTTGACAGCAGTAGTGCATCACATGGCTCTCCATTAGCAAGGTAAGATTATTACAGTATGGTCATGAAAAGCCTATCTTCACTTCCACAGTTATGAAATGTGATCCATGTACTGGGTTTTCTAATACATTAATTCATCATTTTGATAATGACATAACATTAAATTTGTACAATAAAGGGTGTAATTTAGGAATTTAGCGCAACATAACAGTAGTATACACTTGCCTTTTCCCTCTGGGTTCTTGTGTTTGTTTCCTGCACTTGGCACATCTGTAATTAGAGTTAATTTGTTAGGTCTCTTTTCTGCATGGGTTATCTGGTTTGTCTCCCCTTGCAAAACCTAACAATCATGCTAAATTCCAATTCAATCTGTGAGTTAGCCATGCCCAGAGTTTGATGAGCGCAAAGGTTTCGTTTTGGAGTTAGATATATTTTTTGAAGGCTTAGGTTTGTATGCTACAAGTTTCAAATCTTTGTATTATTAAGTATTATTGAATTTAATTCATTATTACCTTGTTTGACTCAGGAGTCTGTTTAGGATATCTGGGGTGAAGTCTGTTATGTTTGGTCCTGAGTTCATAACTGTCACAAAGGTATGTAGATTCAGCAAGGGACCCACCCACTGACACCCATGATGTGGTTGGGATTCAACAAGGGACCACCACTGGCACCCATGATGTGGTTGGAGGTCGTTTAACCTGGGAGAGATTGATATTTTAGATTCAGTAATTCGAACAATAGCAATCTAATGCCATTAAGATAATGGCAATATAGGCCAAAAGGCTTTGTTTATTTTAATTACTTGCATAAAATAGGCTATAGTTGTTGCTGTCCTGACCAATCGTTCTATACTTGACAGCGATCATCAGATCTCATAGTCAATACAGTGCCTTCTGATATTACAAATTCAAATATTCTCAAGTATAATGCATCCCATCTATCAAATCCAATTCCTATGGCAGACATGCTTTCTCAACATCTGCACCGAAATGGTGGAATTCAATCTCTGAACACATAAAAGAGCAGAAACAGAAGAAACTTTTAAAGCTAAACTTAAGACATTTTAATTTCAAAAACATTTTTAGTTAATCATATATATATGCATTGCTAGGCGCATTAAGGTTAGAAATATGCATTGTTAGGCGCATTGAGGTTAGAAATGCGCCCTATAAGCACCTATTTATTATTATTATTATTATGGCATTTTTCCAGGCAGATGATGACATAGAATGGTCATTAATAAAGCCAGACATATTTGCTACCATCATGGATTTCTTTGCCAGTAATTTACCTATTCTTACTGATGAACAGCCTCCCACTAATACTGGTATGTGCACGTCTTTCTATAGACTTGCCCAAAGTCCTTTTATCTCTTGGGCAACGTGGGCACCACTCATGACACCATTACTCCCAGGTCCAAAAAACATGTCGTGGGTAGACTTGTAACCACTCCTGACTCTGTCACTCATAGATCTGAAAAACATAGTGTGGTTGATTTGTCAAGTCTAATGTTTCTATTGCTAGTAATATTACTAGCTGATTGACTAGTTCAAATATATAATACTTTTGCATTTCTACTGTCAATTTGTTTTAAAACTATATTATTTGGGGTGAGAACTGTAGTGTGGTGTAGGGTGTATTGCACTAATTGCTTTGTCTTCAATTTTAACGAAGAAATAAAAAACGCGCTCATGTGCTGTGTGCAGTTATAAAGCACACGGGGGTTGGCAGAACACGAAAGAAGTGTTAGGAGAGGCACGGCACGTAGTGGAGTGCGTCTCGACACTTCTCAAGTGTTCTGCCAATCATCAAGTGCATTATAGCTGCACACAGCACAGCAAGCAAGTTTTTTTATTTCTTTCATAAAATACTATTAAACATTAAAATAACCATTATTTTGGATATGAATAACGCAACTGAAAGTGTGTGTGCATGCTCTCATAAAGCACACGCTCCCAACCAATCAGAACGTGGATCCATAACAGTTATTTTATAACTTAGCTATAGATGCAGATGATGATGAGGTTGTTGCAATGATAAAAGAGCTGCTTGACACAAGAATAAGGTGAGCTAAGTATTAAATTAAAAAATACTTCAAAAGGAGAATGCTCTAGATTGGTACTTTCACATATCAGATAATAAGTAGCAATACCATTGGAATATCTAGCAAAGCTTCTTTTAAAAATTTATGTTTTTTTTGTGTGTGTTTTTTTAGGGTTGATGAAAATTTTTCTCACATTTCCTTTTCTTTGTAGGCCAACTGTTCAGGAGGATGGTGGGGATATTATATTCATGGTAAGGGAACGTTGTGTTGTATACATTTACTCTTCTCAGTAGACTGAGGCAGTTGTGGTTTTTTGATTGCCTTTGTAGCATCGGTTATGTTAGTGGCAAGTGCATTTCAAATCAACAAGGTGATGCCAATGTCGTACCACATAGACAAACGTTTTTACACCACGATAAAAACTTGTCTGCACTCCGGCTATAAAAAATAACAACTTCCTCGGTCTACAGGGAAGAGTAGTATTTCCTTTTGCTGTGATGTAAGAAGGCCAAACCTTATGTGCTGTTATAATAAGCTGAATTTTCCTTTTTTTAGGGTTTTGATAATGGTGTAGTGAAACTCAAGATGCAGGTAAATTGCAACTCAATATTCTAGGACCTAAATACTGTGTGTTATAACCATGCTCTGGTTGGCTACAGGGTCTGCAAAGCTATGTACAGGTCTGATGCCTTGGGCCAATAAAAACACTTGTTTCCACTATATTTTATGTTCCTTCCAGTCAGTACTAAAAATATTTTTTCAAGTCCATTAATTCCTACTCCTTTTAGGGGTATTCAGCATTCCTCCAACAAGTACACATATCAGGGCCGTAAACAGAACTTTTACAGGGAGGGTGCACATCGAATAAAATCGGAAAAAAAAAAAGTTAACTGAAAGAAAACAGAACCAAAAAAAAAAAAGAAGATGGATGAGTGGACCTTAAGCTTTTATGGGGGGGTGCACATGCACCCAGTGCTCCCCCTGGTTACCGCCCTGCATATGCATGCTATCTGCCTACCATACATGTACACCTCCCTTTAACGTAATGTTTTCCCTTTTCAGACCATGTGTTATTCCCTTGAGAATAAGACTCTTTGATGTTTGAGTTGTATCCATATTCAGGTGTCACCTTATGTGTGACTGTTAATCAAAGAAATGATGCTCAAGGGTTTAGGTCTGAAATATTACAGCTAAGTGTTATAATTGCAGTGTATATCTAATATCTGATGAACCTATTTCATAGGGTGCCTGTTCTTCTTGCCCAAGTTCCCTGGTAACTCTGAAAAATGGTGTTGAAAACATGTTGCAGTTCTATGTACCTGATGTTGTTTCAGTAGAGCAGGTAGGGAAGAAAGAATTCTTTATAATTAACCTTTAGTTTAAATATCATTTGCAAACAGCATACAACAACAACAAAAAATGTTAAATGTAAGTAACGTAATGTAAGTTTGATACAGTTCTCTGCCGTCAATAGACCTCCTCGGTTCTGGAGCGCTCAAGCTTAATATTGTCCCATTTCAGACCACATGTCATTTCCTTAAGAATAATATTCTTTGTTTGAGTTGTATCCATATTCATGTGTCTTCTCATGAGCAACCGAGTGCAAACCTTAAACAAAGAAATGATACATGGTCTGAAATGGGGAAAAATATGTCAGAGCTGAGGAGGTCTATTCATCCAACTTCACCACTTTGTTAATATTCAGTATTTCAAATTCTATTTGAATCTTGCAGGTGGAAGATGAGACTGCAAAAGTCAGTGAAACTGAATTTGAAAAGTTTGAAAAAAAGCTGGAAGACATGAAGGACAAATAAATGCCTTACGCTGATTAGTACTTGTACAAAGGACCACTATAAGGACAGATGGAATATCAAATCCATCTTTTATATTCTGAAAGTTATTCAGTTACTATTAATAATAATTCAAGATATTCTTCTCTGACCAAAGTATCAAAGTCCTTGTCCCATCCAAATGTCCCCTTCCTCACCCCCCCCCCCCCCCTCCCCCCTCCTCCTCCTCTAAAACACACACATCACCACCACACCAGTGGTTTAGCTTTGATACAGGGGCGGACCCAGGATTTTGTTCAGGGAGGGGTGCACCCCTTAGAATCGAAGAGAAAAAACAGTATTGGTTATCTTCAAATTAGGGCACAAAGTGGAACAAGGGAGGGGTGCGCACCCCCTGCACCCCTCTCCTGGATCCGCCCCTGTGATAGGTGTATATGTGATGGCATAACTGGACCTTGGTACCCTGGGTACCAGAGAAAAAAAAAAGAAGATTGACTGAGAAGTACTGGAACGAGAGCCTCTGAAGTCCAGGGTGGAACCTTGGTGAATTACTAGAGTTGCTGGTTGTTTCGTAACTTCGTTTTATTCAATTTTTTTCGTTAAATTATTTGTATTTATTCAATTGCACAATTTTTAAAGCTTGTTTACAGGTTAACAACAAACGAACGAAGAAAGGAAGAAAGGAAGATAGAAAGAAGAAAAAGAAAGAAGGAAGGAAGGAAAGAAAGAAAGAAGGAAAGAAAG